AGTAGAAATAAATATACCCTCAGCAATTGCTTTATTTTCTGTGATTTTTCAATTCAAATCAAAGTTCCAATCTGCATTTTCCTTTCCATTCCCAAAAATATCATTCACTAGACTGTGTATCATAATTCAATGCATTAAGGATATTTCAGCCCTTCTTTCCATTCCAAACAATTATATTAATTACTTTAAATACCCACAATTGTGTAGCTGATTAAAATATACTGAGTAGTTCTTAGCTCACCTCAACGAAATTGGGGGGAGCTCATGTGATACCCTCGGCGTCGGTGTCGGCGTCCCAGGTTAAAGTTTTTGGTGCAGTTTTCTTTTTAAGTACTTCTATGCCCTACATTAATCAAAGATGCATGGAAGGTGCTTCTATTGTGTTTCAATGTACCAGTCAAGGTTTCAGATGCTGCAAATTTAGCTTAGGAATGACCAGGTTAATGTTTTTGGAGCAGGTTAAAGTTTATGGTGCAGGTTTCATTTTCAAGTAATTATAAGCCCTATTTTAACCAAACTTGCATGGATGATACATCTAAGGATGCACACTACCAGGCTTGCTTCGGATGCTGGATCTGACCCATTTTCCAGATAAGTGAACAAGTTTTTGGAGCAGGTTCATTCTAAAGTTCTAAAGTAATTTTAAGCCCTATGTTGACCAAACTTGCATGGATGATACATCTAAGAATGTACACTACCAGGTTTGCTTCGGATGCTTGATCAGACCTACATTTTTCAGATAAGTGAACAGGTCAAAGTTTTTGGACAGGTTCATTTACTGATCGTCGGATACCCAGACGTATGACCTCGTCTTTTACTGATCGCCGGATACCCACGGGTGATTTCGTCTTTTACTGATCGTCGGAAACCCAAGGGTGATCTTGTGGTGAGTAAAAGAAAGATCACCCGTGGGTATCCGACGTGATGATTAAAAGGCAAGATCACTCGTTTGTATCCAACGTGATGAATAAAAGACGAGATCACCTGTGGATATCCGACGATGGCTACATACCGAAAGATTCTGAACTCGTTCGCAAGGGTGATACGTGTATAGCCAAAGTGTATGTACATGTATGTTATTTGACAGAATGAATCAATATTGAACAAAAACTAAAAACAATGAATGCCTGCAACAAACCTCTTTAAAATCTCGTTATAATCCTTGATGAACTATGGTTTTTGAGTTATTGGGCACAGAAATCAGCAATTGAAACATTATTGACCTGAAGTAGCTAATCAATAAAAAATTTAATATTTATTTCAAGTACAAAGAGATAGAAAAAGGCCACTGGCTTATAGAAGTCTTAAAAAAATAAACAACAACAACAACAACATGTTTTTATATAAATATTAAAATTTGAATTATTTTTAACTCACCTCAACGAAGTCGAGATGAGCTTATGCTATACCGTCGGTATCGTCTGCGTCCTGGTAAAAGTTTCAGGAGCAAGTCCATTCCCAAGTAACCATAAGCCCTAACTGGACCAAACTTACATGTATGGTGTTATCTAGGTACAGACACTAACAAATTTGCTTCGGATGCTGGATCCGACCTATATTTTCTAGATGAGTGAACTGCATGGTTAAAGTTTTTGGAGCAAGTCAATTCCGAAGTAACTATAACTATAAGCTCTACCGGTACCAGGACGAAACCTGCATGGATGATGCCTAATAAATAGATGCATCTTTGGACCCAAAGGCTTCTCAATTCAATGACCTAATTAAAAAAAAAACAAAGACGAAGGTTAGATGGAGAGCATGCTGGTATCAGCATTTCCGATGTCTGTATACATGATGTTGTTCTGAAAATTTTCTTAGGATTTGTCTGAAAAATTTCACACTTGATCCTTATTAATCATATAAAGATATGGTACTGGTATTTTAATTGGAAAGGGTTTTTTCAGTTTAAAGGACTTTGTCATTTTGTTTGTTTGTTTGTTTTTTGTTTGTTTGTTTTTTGTTTTTCAGTTTAAAGGACTTTGTCATTTTGTTTTTTTTTTTTTTTTGTTTTGTGTTAGTTATAATCATCTGATAACTTAAAAACTACTAAAAATCTCAGGGTGACAAAAATGCCCCCGCTGACATGTATGCAAGTTTTAAATATGTTATTTCAAGTTCAAGAAAGGTAAAATAACAATGGGTGGAAATGGCACAACAATAAAATGTCATACTGCTGCTTTGTTTTCTGGAATTAGTTGTCTATTGCACAACAAAAAATGTACTTATGCTGCATTAAATGGTGATCAATTACTAAGTAATTAAAAAAGTCTAATAAATTATAACTGAATAATTAGTAGGGATGTCAATTTTGTCAATAATTCATATTCGAATATTCAATGAAAGTATTCGAATATATTCGAATATTCGATAAAATAAATAAAATCTGTTTTATTTTAAATATGCATCATCCTACTCTCGTAGGTATACTTATATAGGAAGTAAAATTGTATGAAGACTTTGTAGGTGTACATTAAGAAATTCCGTTTGATATTTGTCAATGTTTGAAATAAATAATTGATTTAAATGTAGAAAAGTATAATTTTAACAAATGAAACGTGTATTCATCGTAGCCCCACCTGAGGAACCAGTCGTCTCACAAAAGGCAAGATAGCCGTAACGGTATACTGTTCAGATTTCAATACGTGTAATAAATTACAATTATCTGCCTGATAAGAGATATGATTATAATCTTTGATACAATGTAAACAAATATTTACATAGACAATTTTCCTAGGTAATTAACTGTTTTCCCGATAATGAATATAAATTATGTACAACCCGAGATAATCAAGTAATTTACACATTTATTCTGCAATTAAGCCCTTTACAATATTAATTACAGATTAATTCTATCGGACATTCATTCAATGATCAATTAATTTTATTTTGATAAGTATACTCTTCAAGCCTTTTAGATATTCTTAGATTTCATTTGTTGTCCTCGATTCTAGATCCGATCGTATCTTTAACTAATAAAAGCTATGAAAGTACGTTTTGTATTATACATAAAGCATTATTATACAATTCTTTACAACACCTTACTTAAAACAAAATACATGTAATTTAGAAGATTTATAAGATAAGAAAGTAGTGAAAGAAATCAGGCGATCGGAATTGATCGCTAGTAAATTAAACAGGGATAATTCCAGCACTGTTCTAATCAAAATTTATTAATCACAGTACTTCTTTTTATGAAATCTGAAAAACACCGAATATTCGAATCTTAAATTCATATTCGAATATCAACTCATAGAATGAATATTCGAATGTTCGAATATTCGTTGCCATCCCTAAAAATTAGTCATTTTAAAGGGCATAACTTTTGTTAAAAAAGGGTCTATCATCACGAAACTTGAACTAGTGATCCTTTTCACAAAAAATCTTACGACGAAATTTACCCATTCTCCAACAGGTACATGTATCTGAGCTGAAGTACGTCACAAAATTATAAATAATATTTCAGAAGAAAAATAAGTAGCAAATGATTACAGTATTGTCAAATTTTAATCTTGGACGTTTGATTTGTGAAAAGGACCACAGATCTGTAAGTCATCTTTATTGAGAGACATGTCAGAAATTAACTCATTACACTTCGAGGGGTGATCAAAAAGTTCGCGACTATCTCTACATTTATAAAACCACAATTCAGATCAGAATGAAATTTGACACTCATATAGTCATAAACATGATCTATAACTAGCAGATGCTACGTAATGTTTTGGTCCATGTTTTTGATGTCATAATGTGAAACTGACGTCAATATGTAGGTGACTTGTGACGAAAAATGGGTGACTCGGTCTTACTCGAGCAAGGAACGGCTGTAAAGATTAACGTAAATCTTGGAAATTCCTTTGCAGTGACATGTAATAATTTGTACAGGGTTTATGAAGACAAAACACTTGCAAGAAGTTCAATCATTAATTGGATTGATTGTTTTAGTGATGGAGGGGAGGTGGTTAAAAATGATGTTTGTTTTGGTGCCCATTGAAAGTATGCTGAGAAAGAGGTGTATCCTTCGTTGAGCAATTTGTTATGAAAGTTAGAAAAATAGCTGAATATCTTAACAATTAAATAATCATTAAATCCCTAAAATATCATTTACTTCAGATTTTAAACATATCAGATATGATAAAGAGAACGCGCCTATACTTGATTCATATATATTAATTTACAAAAACGACTCATCTAAGACAGAGGAGTTGGGTTGTGATGATCACCATGCTCATTCTGGTGAAAGCTATCTAGATATCCTTATCGACAAGCATAGCAATAAAAAAGGGGCGGAAAACAGTGAATTATTAGAAATTTTCAAATTTAAGTCTAAGAACCATATATAGTTACACGAAACTTGAACTTGATCTGTTAGTTATTAAAAGTACTTACTGCATGTGTTTGAAATACATAATTATCTTCAAGAACTGTTTATTTATTCTCGAAACGGCACATATAGAACATAAGTTGACACATGGAATCTAGAGAAATTATATTAAAAAAAGAGAGTAAAATTACATAGGTTCTTAAAACAGCAACACTATCTTATAAAAAATAGGTAATTATGAAGAAAAAAAAATATATCGATATGTCTAAATGAACATAAATATATAGACACTGTGTATAGTCATTTTCCCGAGGATGACCAGGCCATGATGAATTAAAGCCATAGAGGCTTATTTCCAATAGGGGTCCTCAGTTTTCATTTTGGGTTCAACAACACACACACAGTTATTTTAAGCAGTTTATGTTTCTAAATTAGGTCTACTTTTACATCAAAATTTTCCAAATGTCCATCCTCACAATGTCAAGGTTTTGTGATTTCGAAATCACAAAACCTTGACATTGTGAGGATGCCAAATGTCACGTTCTACTGTATTTTTAAGAAAATAACTTTCGTTTCTGATCGGGTTCGACAGCAGTAAGTCTACTTTCTTTTTCACTAAACAGCCGTATAATTTAAAAGGGGTAAGTAAGTGACTGGACGAAATCAGACAGTCAACTCCATTTAAGTTTGCTTTAAAAAAAATACACTGAGGTGAATTTAAGACTGAAGTCCTCCTTTAAATTGAGTCATTGATAATAGATAAAGTTTCATCAAACACACCAGGGACGTACATGTAGTAGGCCTACCTGTCGTGTCAGATTAGGCCTAACGTATAAGTAAGAGGACCAGGCAATGAATACTGAATAATGATTTCGAGAAATTGCAATGATTGTTAGATTTTTAAAGAGGACACTCTTTGCATACCCACGCACACCTACTTTACTCGTTAAAAAGATGGGGGATGCCAAGGTTAGAGCTCTATGTGATGAATTCTGGGAATGGAGAATGCGCCAGAGTCCTGTGTTTGCCTCATACTGTGGAGATCAGAGATATTCTCATTTGTTGGATGATATCGAACCAGACGCCTTCCTTGAGTTTGAGGTAAATTTTGAAGCTTACAATCACACACAGGCACTGGAAGTAAATTTAATTTTTTTTAACATATGCACATACTCAGTATTAACTTTCAGTGTCCGTGTAACCACTTAAGAAAATGTACTGTAGGCTAATGATTTTATAATAAAAAGAGCTAGGTTCACTTTATGCATAAAATGGCTCTGTAGATATGCCAATTTATTGACTAACACTTTATGTTCCATTTTAAACATCAAGATAAAGTAGAGACTTAGTGCTTTCATTTCCTACTAAAAAATTTCTCCTTAAGACCAAGGTCTTGGAAAACAGGCTTCAAGGAATTGCAATGTTCTTGAATTTTAAGGAAAACAAGTATATCTGAGTACTTTCACAGAAGAGAAATAATATGAGCGCACCCTCTGATCTAAAAAATAAAACATGTTTTATCTGTAATCCTCAGAAAGAGTTCTATCATTTAATAGTTGCATATTTTAGATCAGAGGTTGCGCTCTATATTAAATATTGAAAAATAGCTTTAAAAATTGGCTGTTTTTGTAGAATTTTTCAGGATATGAGGAAAATGATGTATTTTATGATGTCATAATGCATTGACTAGCCAGAAAATTACGTCATTTTTGATAGATACGCAGTCACCAAAGGTGTAAATGATATTTAATGCATTTTCAACTAAAATCAAGTAGTTTCAATTTTTCTGAAATTCACAGGGCCAAAAAAGGCCCTAAGTGAACCTTGTTCTTTCTTAGTTTAATATAATCATTATAATCAGGGACCTACATGGATATATACAAACTACACATACAGCAATTATGGCTGCACAGCCTTTGGTATTTCAAAAACAAAATTCTAAGGATACAGAATGTTTATTTAAAAGCATGGTGGTTTCATTTTAATCTCAACTTTGAAATTTTAAATCCTTGAAAAGCTAATAAAATTTCCTTCAGTTGAACTATTATGTATGTACAGAGAACAAACTTTAATTTACATACATGGTACATGGTTTACATGTTATTATTTCTCTTAATTTGTAGAAAGATGTATCCAAGCTTTTAAAGAAAGCAGATGACATTCAGGTAAAGGATTTATCAAAACCTGCCAGAAATGAACTCTTACTTGTGAAGGACCAGATGCAGACATTTTTGGCTGGAATGAAGCACAAGGGGTAAAGAAAAAAAGTAGTATATATATACAATGTATATATATATATATATATATATATATATATATATATATATATATATATATATATATATATATATATATATATATATATATATATATACATATATATATATATATATATATATATATATATATATATATATATATGTAAGTATAAAAGTAACCAACGACACGAACTAGTGCTTTATATAAATTTCCATCCGTGACCTTGTATCTACTTAGTAGATCAGACACTTAGGATGTACAGGTTTTTTAGTGCTTAATTATATATTATAAATAAAGTCCTTTGATTATTTATATGAATGAAAAGGTAGTGGAAGGCATGAACATGATTTAGTTCAGTAACGAATGAAGAATATCGAGTACAATTCTTTCAGTTGGTATTTTCCAATCAACTTTATGGATGGCTTGCATGCAGATATTCCTAAAGTTATGAGTATGTGTCCAACCAGGACAGAGGAAGACTTCAGAAATCTGAATATAAGAATTGAAGGTTATGGACAAAAAGTGAGTGGGTGATATACATGTATCTTGTTTCAAAAACATGCATTGCTGTTAGAATTTTTTTTAGAAACTTTATTCTAAGATGACAAAAGAGAACAAACTTATACCTAGCATTTAAAGAATCGGTCTCTGGCTTATAAGAGGGATATAAATTGTCAGATAAATTTTGTGTCATGATTTTGAGGAGCCATAATTTAACTATAAGCCTTTTGTAGTTAAATCATTCACCTCTTTACGGGAAGATGTTTGTTTGCTCTTAGGCAAAGTCTTGTATACAGATTTTGAAGGAGGGAGTGAAAAATGGATATGTTTGCCATCTGTACTCAATAGTAAGCTATATGTATTCTTCAAATATACACAGTGTTTTACAAAATATTAATAAACACTGAAGATATTCAGGTATCAGTTTTCAGAAATGAATTTCAAGCTATCAAAAGGCAGTACTAAGGGTCAACAAAATTACAAAATAAGATGTTTTAAGAAGGTGAAACAATGTAACAAAAAATATTAAAGATACATCTAATTCATTAATGATATTGATTAACTTAATGGTCTATTTATTGTTGTATGTGCTATTTAGGAGGGAGTGCCAGATCAGATCTATAACATGATCAGTGCTGAGCTTAGTCCAGAAAAAGATGCCTTTCTTTCTCCATACAAAAAGGTCCCTGCAGGATCCATAGAAACTTCTATAAAGTAAGTGAAATGATATATTTGGAGAAATCACACAGGCAAACCTCATTGTCTCGAACTTGATGGGACCAAGCAAAAATTTCCTCTAGGGATCTCTAGCTCACTTGAACAATAATTGTGTATGCTATCTCTGAAACCAAAAAAAGTAGTTTTCACAAAAAATATTTTCATACCAGTTTTCATAATTTTGTGTTGTGTTCTTTAAACTAAGTGAAGGACAGTATAACAATTAAGAATATGAAAACAATTTTAAAACAAATATGTATTGAATACATGAAAAAATGTATACATGTATGTCCTATGAAAAAAAACATAAAGATCATTGTCATTGAATATTTTGATACATGTATGTCTGAAATTTTGATAAGTGTTTTGGGGAAATAACAATTTTGGGTTGAAGAGTTTTATAAATAACCATAATAACAGAGTGCTTCAGTGTCTGATTTTTATTGGTAATAAACAAAAATTAATAACTAACGATACAGCTGCATCAAAAATATATACACTGTATGTTTGGTGATATTTTAGGATATTGAGTAAATGTACATGTTAATTATAATTAATTTTTGAACAGTTTTCATTGTTACTGGTAAATAAATTCTGAAATAATGTACACTTATCCACTGGCTGTGAGTGGGATAACTCTTTTATCAAACCCGTGACAGGAACTATTCCCCAAGGGCTTGACTGAGGGGAATAGTTCCTGTCAAGGGTTTGATGAAAGAGCTATCCCATGCACAGTCTGTGGATAAGTGTTTTATTTTACTGATGTGTATCATAATTCTGAGGGTTTGTATTACCTGATACTACGTACAGTTTCATAGGGAAACATGAAAAGAATAATTATTAAATTTTGGAACAAGTATTTGGAATAAGATAACACTGCTAGAATGAGCTGGAATCCTAATGATGTCACAATGCTACTGAAGTCAGGATGACATCATCAGTCTATAGATTGATTATAGGAAATCAAAATTGGCGGCAAAAATTGCATGAAAATTTTCCGAGGGGTGGGTAGCACAAACTATACCCCGGGGTATAGCTTTGCTATGCCTGGAAATTTTCAGACTATAAAAGATAGTTATTTTACCTTCTTAACTTTATATAGAAAACATTTTAACAGAAGTATAATAAATATAGATATTGTTTTCTTTGTTTCAGAGATAAACTTTTAGCAGAAGCAAAGGAGACTGTCCAAAAGGTTGTGAAACCAGCATTTAAAGAACTGGCTGAATATATAGAAAATGTATGTACATACAATGTTTTTTAATAAAAAATTGTGTTAATATAGTCCTTTGTAGATAATAGCCAAGTCTGGTTGAATATTCACTTATTTATTTACAGTAAAAAATAGTTACAGCAAATATGCTTAAATTGAATTTACTCTTACAGAAAATTGACTTTTATTCTCTATTAAGTATAAAACCTTTTATGAACTTATCATGATGATATGATGTAAACATATATAAATAGGCATACTTGAAATATAGCAGTCTTCCTCAGCAACTCAGCAACTTACCTTCACGGTAGCTCAATCGGAAGAGCGCTCGCTCAGTGATCAGAAGGTCGTGTGTTCGAATCACGGTCACGACTGACCTAAGTCGATAAAAAATAGGTAGCAATTAACTGTTCCTTTGCCAAGTGCTCAGCACTTTGAAATGAAAGTTGCGGGTCCTTCGGATGAGACCTTAAAAATCGAGGCCCCCATGTCACAGTAGGCATTGACACAATAAAGAACCCTCACTGCTCAATTGTCCTGAGTGCAGAGTAAAGGTCTAAATTTGAAGCCCTTCACTGGTATATGGTGACATCTCTATATGTGTGAAAAATTCTCAAATGGGACATAAAACAACATACAATCAATCAATCAATCCTCAGCAACTTCTTATTAGCATAATGATAAATTAGCGCATTTGAAGCCAAGCTTCTAAATGTGTTTGATTTAATCATATTAGCATGTTCTTAAATAAGCAGACAAGAAGAAGTGCAAAGGTGCTAAAATAAGATTACCACAATTATAACTAAAACTAGAGATACTGAGCAATGAGCTCACAAAATGATACCCCCGCCTCCCATATGATTATAATGGCAAAGTCCATTTTTTTGCTATGGGAAATACCAAATATCTGTCTGTTCAGAACATGAAGTAGGAGGTGCTCGTTGGCCTATGTAATAAAGATTGAAAGTGAAAGTATCATTCAATTTTATTCAGTGGTATAGGAAGAGTTGAGGATAAGAAATGGGTACCCTCGATATTATAGAAAGAATGGCAGTGTCTATGATTTGCTATGGGAAACCCTAAATATGTGTTCGTCCAAGAATTAAAAAAGAGGTGCACAATAGCCCTATGTAATAAAGATTCTGTGAAAGTATCATTAAATTTTATTCAGTGGCATAGGAGGAGTTGCAGATAAGAAATGGGTACCCTCAATTTCATAGAAAGAATGGCAGTGTCTATGTTTTGCTATGGGAAACCCGAAATATGTGACTGATCAAAAAGTAAAATAGGAGGTACACAATGACACTAAGTAACAAAGATTCTGTGAAAGTCTCATTAAATTTTATTCAGTGGTATGAGAGGAGTTGCGGATAAGAGATGGGTACCACAAAGGGTAAAGGACGGATGGACGGACATACAGACAGACGGATGGACAGACACCCCCATCACTATACACCACCCACTTTTCAAGTGGGGTATAATAAGTAAGTTTACTGTACAACAAATTAAAATTATAACAAATCAACATTGTCTCTGGCACTTTGCTGTAAGCATGCTTTTACTGTCTTTATTGTTGCAGAAGTAACTTTCTCAAATTGAAGTATGTTGTTTGAAAATTTGATTTTAATTTGATTTCATTTTTATAATGAAAAATGTTATACAGCTGATCTTAAGTATTTCGAACACTGATATCTTTAACCCTCAATATCTCAAACTCTCAGATATCTCCAAGTTTTTTCTTGGTCCCATTGAGTTTTAGACAATGAGGTATTACTGTATTAAAAAGAAATTATTTTGTTGAATGTGCACTTTTACAAATGGTGAACCACATGTGCTGAGTTTAGCATGTTTAGGAGAGGTATACAGTGGAATATCCTGTGACATTTGTAGGATTATATGAAGCACACGCGCTCTGATATAGCTGCTTCCTCTCTTCCTAATGGCCAGGAGCTGTATCAGGCATGTCTGGATTTTCATCTTTCTCTGTCAATGACTCCAAAGGAAGTCTTTGACATTGGTAAGGAGGAGGTAGAAAGAATCACAAAGGCGATGAAGAAGATTACCCAGGAGGAAGGCTTTGGAACAGACATTAAGAAGTTTAAAGAAGATATTTTCAAAAGAGATGAGTTCCACTTTAAAACCCCTGTATGCTCTTGTCTTGTTTTGTGTATTATATATAAGAAAATCATATTATGGCTATAAGCATATGTGATAAAAAGTATTTCTTACACTTTGCTTTTTCTATGGCTGTTTCAGCATATTTGTGTTATTTTTTTTTTACAGGAAGAGCTAATAGATTATGTAAAGCAGATATGTTTTGAGAAAATTCAACCAAAGTTACCTCTTTTATTTAAGGAATTCCCAAGCTCAAAATTGAAGTAAATTAATCTCTCTCTCTCTCTGTTTATAAATACATATGTAGCATTTTTGCATTGAAATTCTTTCTAAAAGTCTAGAATATTGTTCTCTTATTCAAATTTTTATCAGTACAACCAACTTAGGATTTTACTAAGAAGAGAAAATATTTAGATATACCTTTTTTTGTTTTGAACATTAGAATTGAGCCTTCTCCGCCCCTGATGGATGGTGGTGCATTGGCATTCTACTTCAGTGGGTCCCCTGATGGCAGTCGACCTGGTGTGTACTATATCAGTACATCTAACTTACCAGGAAGGTAAATGATACAATTTGGGTTGTGCTGTGTCGGTAAATCTAACTTACCTAGAATGTAAATGATACAAAATGATGAGCTGGGATGTACTACATCAGTAAATCTAACTTACCCAGAAGGTATATAATACAAAATGACCAGAGCTAGTTTGTATTAATTTATCTGGAAGGTAAAAAATACAAAATTATTAAATTCTGTTTGAAAAAATGTTCATTAATTGTTTACTTACATTGTTGATTATTAAACAAAGCATGAAAAAATAAATGCACGAATACTAATGTATAACTTTGCAACAATACTTCCTGTATCATCAGTTGTTAAAAGTTATTAAATTAAAGTAGTTTTTTATCCTTATGTTAATTTTGTTTGGAATAGGTTCACTTAGATTTCTTTTTTTTAGATGTACATTGCAGATATCACTAAGATATTGTATTCCAAACTGTATGAATTTCTTTGTCTTGAAATCAATAGGCAGAAATTGTTGTATAATTCATTTTCAGTCCAAAATATGAACTATCAGCTTTGTCTTTACACGAAGGAGAACCTGGGCATCATTTCCAGGTCGGTATCTTGGGATAGTCATCACAAATAATAAATAGGCATGATGTAAGTTATAAGTCAAATGTTGAAGCAAGAGTTAATTTTTTTGTTCAATATCCAACACTGTTTTAGAGTGTATTCAAGAGCAATCTATCTCAATCATTTATCATAATTTCAGTAGGCATGTATCTCAATATTCACTACAAATACATGTTTAACAACATATTTTTAATTCAAATACTATTGCAGGACATTTTCCGACTTTTTTTCTAATTTTTAGAGCTTTGTATGCATCTTAATATCTAATTAAGTTGTATCAGCAAAGGTTTTTTTCCTGTATATGAGTGGGAATTCATGAAAAATGATTTATTTCAAACGGATCTAAGAGGAACTGTACTTGTGTAAATTCACATTTAATTTTTTTTATAATTATAATTCGTTATAATTCTAACTGACTTAGGGAATGACTTCCATGGAAATGAAAGATATCCATCAATTCAGAAGAGCACACGAGGACCTGCACTATGCTTGGGTCCCTTCCAGATTTCCACTGTATACTGCATATTTGGAGGTGTGTATATATATGTATATAACAGTTACAAAATATTAGGAATTTTCCTGTAAATAAATAACATTTTACTGATGATTTGAAGAAAGTACATATATACATCAATTATGCATTATTTTATTTTCAGATTAAATCTAGTTAAAAATGTTTGTTTTTAAAAACTTATTTAGAGAAATGATGTTGACTTTAGGGTTGGGGACTGTACTGTGAGTATTTGGGAGAAGAACTTGGTTTATATGAAGATAACTACACTTTGTGAGTGACATTGTAATAGAAATACAGCGGATATAGCGAAGTTTTTGGGGGTTCCCGGCAAAATTCTTAATTCTTTGTAAAAGTTTACAGTTATAACGAACTTTGATATAACGAATTTACGGATATAGCGAACTGATTTTGAGTCCCGTAGAGGCTAAAAATAATGAAGTTTACATCTTTTACAACGCATTTCCAAAGATCCCAAAATTTGACATATTGAACTTACATTATTTTCGTTAAGCATTTGTATATAAAATTCAATTCATAATAAAACCTTAGTTACCCAAGGTATGTTTTGTAATAAAATGTGTATATTGCGAATTTGCTATATATACTTAAACGAATTCGTTACACTGATATAACGAATTATGGATGTAGCGAAGTAAATTCACAGGTCCCCAGGACTTCGCTGTAATCGAGTTTTACTTTAGTGATGAATTCAGCATTTTGTTCAATTTATAAGGACCCCTCCCAACCATTGGTTACATGTAAAATGCTCATTTGTTAAGGTTTGGAAGGTACTGTTTTGAGATTTTGAGAGCTGTTCGTCTAGTTGTGGATACAGGGATCCATGCCTTTGGGTAAGTCATTGTAGTGTACAGTTACATGAAATGATAATTTCTTGTTAAAGTACAGTATGTACCAAATAGCATAGCAAATGGTTAAATATATTGTAAGTCGATGCATTCGCCACTGTTGTAAACATCAGTCCATCAACACTTTTTTGTGACATGATAACTCAAACAATTTTTTAATGTAACATTTTAAAATTTTGTACACAAGTACTTTGATAGGAAGACTCCTATACATTTTGGGTTCATATAATTCGTCTGTCTTTATGTATGTCCGAATTTATTTCCATGAACACTTTCTTTGTGAAGCGATAACTCGAAGTATTTAACAAAACATTATAGGATTAAACGTTCTTTTTGAAAAATTTATCGATGTGTAAACTCTTGACATTTTACTCACAAACTAAATAAAAGTGCGAAGCACTTTTATGTTAAGTTTGTGTGTAAAATGTCAAAAGTTTACACACCGACAAATTTTTCAAAAAGAACGTTTAATTTTTATAATTCCAATTACGAAGTTTTAAAATTATTTCTCTTTGAAGCCTCCATACAATCCGTTATTTCTGTATACAGCGTAGGAATACTTTATGCCGTGATGTGGAAATGAAACGTAATCGAGATGAACATCGATAAAGTTTAACTTAAATTGTAAAAATATTCAATAAAAGAAACTTATAAAAACTCTTCGAATATTGTTTAAGTCAACGATTGATTGATTGATTGATTGATTGTATGTTGTTTTACGTCCCATTCGAGAATATTTCACTCATATAACGTCACCATATACCGGTGAAGGGCTTCAAATTTTGACCTTTACTCGGCACTCAGAGCCATTGAGCAGTGAGGGATCTTTATCGTGCCAACGTCTACCATGACACGGGGCCTCGGTTTTTAAGGTCTCATCCGAAGGAACCGCAACTTTCACTTCAAAGTGCCGAGCGCATGGCGAAGGAACAGTTGCTACACATTTTTTATTGACTTAGGTCAGTCGCGGCCGAGATTCGAACTCACGACCTCCCGATCACGGAGCAAGCGCTCTACCGTGATCGTTTTAAGTCAACGAATATCGTAAATACAAGTAGACTTCAGAAGAATTCGTCCTTGACCATGTTGGCATTAACGACAAACGCTCTAAAATGAAAGCAGCATACTGACGACACCCTTGATTTGCTCTGATTTGTTTAAAGACGGGGCAGAATTTAGGCTGTAGAAATATGAATTTGATGCTAATAAGGCAAGAGTCTGAGGTACGTTTCTCTTTCCTATCACCTACCGAGAACTGAGCTGATTTGCTTAGCATTAGGAACGACGATCCTATGAGAGATTTTAAATAAAAATTCACAATTGTGATCTGACAGTTACATAAACATAACATTGCTGTCTGTCGATCAGTCCTGTAAGTCGTCAGGTTTGTTTTTGTTTGATTTAAAGTTTCTGTAATCATTTAGCTAAAACAGATTCGATGTAACGATTTGTTTCATTCTTTTACAATTAAAAGCTAGGCCAAGAAAGTAGTTTTGGTTGAGAAATTTATCGATGTATAAACTTTTTCTTGAATTTGTTCTCGTCCAATCAAAACACAGGAAATCAATAAATAAAATTAAGATTGGAATTATTTTCATATATTTTTTTAGTATTTTTACTGTTAGAAGAAGACAGTCACCTACTTATTTTGTTGTCTGTCCCTCTGACAACACTTTTGTTGAGAAACGATTAGAAAATAGTGTTTGAACTTGATTGTTCCATGTCACCTTCCTTGCTCTAAACATAAATATATGAAGTACAGTTTTCACTTTCCTATGGTAGTCCTAAGTGGGACCCTCTCTGACTTTGTCAGTTTCCTAGTCTTGCTTAGTTTAAGGAGGCCTCAGTTGTGATTGTTCTATTAATTTTTTATCATTGATTTAACGAAATCTTGAAAGTATTCGTTTTAAGATGGACTTTTGAGGAGGCCCTGAATTACATGAAAGAGAAAATCTTCATGGATGCCAAAAGTTTGGAGAAGGAATGTAAAAGATATGTTACTTTACCAGGACAAGCATGTGCCTATAAAATTGGTGAAATCAAACTTAAGCAGTTGAGACAGAAAGCCAGTCAAGCATTAGGTAATAGAACAAGAAGAAATAGATAATGGTTCTAGTTTATGAATAAAATTTACTCAAAAGAAAAATAAACTTGTTTTAATAATGTTACAGAGTATTATGTTTTGTTTCATAGCCCCTCCCCCTTCTTCACTTTTGAAAATTTCTACACATAAGAAAAGCTTTATTTGAAGTTGTTCTCTGCTTGACAAAGTGACATAAGTTCTATTTAGCTTTCTAGTGACAATGATAACACATCCATATCAACAAGTAGTAAACAGTAAACATCAGTATGTTACAAACATACACATATAATACACCTTACAAAAATTTGGACTGAAGAAGACACGTGCATGAAAAAATGTTATCATGATGAACAGAAAAAACAGATTTTTTTGAACAATATAATTATACAATAGTTCTGTCTATTCCAAGAGTTTACAAGAGTATTCTGAAAAAAAATGTTTTATTTTTTAAATGCACAGAGTTCCAGAGAGTTCCATATATCTTAAAGTCATTTTTCTGACCTTTGGAATTTCCTTGATATTCGAGTATCTAGAATTTAAAACGAATTATTAAGCTAAGAAAGACACACATTTTGTCTCGACTATTTAAAACAGGTTAAAATTCAATGAATAAAAACAAGGATTTGGTTTCCTAGGAGCACGCATATATTTACATCTTCATAATGTAAAATATTGGTTTGTTGGGGTAGAATGTTCGAATTTGAAACCATGCATGAAAATAAAATTAGATTATTTTGTATTAGTATAATTATGTAAAACTTCTAACCTGTCAGCCTTATGGACACATAATGGACACATTTATATGTACCAGATAGTCTTGCATCCTGCAATGTTACGAGCATTTACATCTAAAAATTGTTTTAAAACTACTCATTTGGAATTTTCATTTTATTATTCTGATTTCTTTCATTATAAACATTATTAATTGATATTTATTGAATTACTGATGAACAATCATGAAACAATCTTATTCCTCATATGACCACAAGTAAGTGTTCGATCCCCTGTAAATGTAGATATCTTGACGAGCAGTAGTTACCCGACGTCTTCACAACTGACTTTAAGATGGCATCATTCTGGTCACTCGAAACTTCCGGTACAACAAATGAACAACTTTATGGTGACGATGTAATTGTATAGCAACCTGATAATTTTGTGTGTGTGTGTGAATTAATGCAAAAAATATCGATAAAGCAGATAATATTGCAGAATCTGACCCCTTTTATGCGGTAACCACCTTGTATTGTACCAATGGTTCTTCCTGTGACAGCATAGGCCGTATTTTATTCGAAATATTTAATGTTTTTCGTTAAAACAATTGTTCAAAGAAACAAAAACGGAAATCAAAGAATCATAATTTTTCTACAATATACAAGGCACGATTTTTCCTAGAACGGGCTTATCACGATAAAATCGTCACGGTTCAGTAAATTTTTCAGTTTCAGTGTTCTTGGTTTTAAATAAATGAGTATTACTAAAAACACTTGTGTAAAATTTGTTATGGTTCTGTCGAAAAGGACAATAACTGTTGAAAAAACAACAGGATGACAGGTCAGAAGTTTTGACTAGTATACTTATGAAACCTTTAAAGAATGTGTTATCAATATTTGCTGCGCATTTAAGTCTATAAGCAAAATAATTTTGTTGCATTGATTATGATGTACATGACAAAGTGTGGTATATCAGGCTTTTCCCCCCTTTATTTTAAGGAGAACGATTTGATGTTAGAGAATTCCACTCTGTGGTCTTGAGATGTGGGGCAGTGCCACTTAATTTTCTGGAGCAAAAGGTTGATGAGTACATCAAGGAAACACTGGTGACTTAAGCATCTTTAGAAAATGGATGCTTAAAATATGATAATCAGACTTTTTTCTTCAACATGAAAACATTTACTTCTCAAATCTCTTCTGTTTTTTCTACTTGTTCTGATTCCACATTTAATATTGACATCTAAATTCAAAATTATCTGTTCTCATATCTGTGGAATTTCTTTTTAAAAAATATGATTTAACTCTGAAGTTGTGAAGAGATAAACAATTCCACACTGTTTGAAGTAGGAACAAATTTTTATTTCAAATTAAGCTAAACAGGCAGAATTAATAATATATAGTACTTTGTCAGATTAAAATTCTATGTATGCATCATTCGAAGATTTTCCTATCTTATGTGTTTGATATTTGTTATATCGTTATGTCAATGGTGTGTACAGAATGATTTTGAAATGTTTAATTGCCTAGGTATATTACATTTAAGGACAGATGATACAAACAACTTTTATCAAAAATCCTGAAAATAACAACATAAGTTATATTTATATGAGTAAAATGAATAAGTTTAACCGCTCAGATTTTAATTTTTCATTCAAGGTTTCACAATTAGGGGATTTTAAGTGACAAAAATTGTATAGATTAATAAGGATGGCTGCAGAAAGGTTGGATTTTGGACATCATAGAAGGTTTACAAATTCTTAATATTTTAGAAATTTATTAGTCACCTCATTTACAACCAAAATAGGTAAAAAAATTATACCAATCCAGGCATTCATATTTTGTTTGTATCATCTGTCCTTAAAGACATATAAATCTATCCTGAATAAAGGTCTTATTATTTCATTTGACAATTTATATTTTTCTTTTTCTTGGAAGACTTTTATTTATCCTAGTCTAGTCTAGTCTAATTTCAGGGATGATGGTTTGATCAGTTTTTACTCTGTGCCATATGATGCTGCTTTGAAACTTATTATAATAATTTTATACATGATCTTCTCAATATTTTTTTTTAGTATACATGCACCTTCAGTTTTATGAAATGGAAAACCTTGGATGGAATTATGACCTGCCTGGGATGGAGTCCCGAATATTATGTTTGAATAGTATAGTACTCCATAAGGCTGATAACAAACAGTGATCGATATCAGGAAGCCTACAAACAAATACAAATCTGTGAACAGAGCGTAAAACATGGAGCTCTGGAAATTTTTGAAGTGGGATCAGGTGCCTAGGAAGAGTAAACATCCCCAGTCGACCGGTCACACCCGAAGTAAGCCTTAAGTATTGATCAAGTAGACGGAGTAATCTGTAGTCAAATTTAGTATAAAAACAAAGGCCTTACAATTGAAATATATGTCAAAATACGACCCAATGATAGGTTGAATTCGCTAACAAGTTCATTATAACGACCGTAGAATTTACGAAATGCTGACTGTAAACGAGGTTGTTGATATCTTCGTAACACAACCTTACTTGTCAGCAGCTAATGCGCGGTATTCAATTTGTCTACACGGTCAGGTGCTGTTACACGACCGACGATATCCAAAAATAAGAATTCAATGCTTAAAAGAATATTTATACAATCTACCTATATAGAAACTTATAATAGATAATTATATAGATAAACTGTAGGAAGAGTAGCATTTTGAAAGAAATCCATTGACATTTCTATTTTATGTAAACATGGCACAGCGTTCGTCAAAATTACGGATATACAGAATTATGTATCTTGGTGAAGTCTTCTTTGTACCAAGTTTATTGAAATCGAAAGAATTTCACTGAAATTTCTATATTTAGTAACGATTGCAACACCATTCGTCAAAATCAAATACTGATACGCAGAATTACGCATCTTAATGTAGTATACTTTTGTAGAAAGTTTAATGAAATCAGACCAAAACTGTAAGAGGAGTGACTTTTTGAAAGAATATCACAGAAATAACTTTTTTTGGCAACACCGTTTTTCAAGATCAAAAACAAATACACAGAATTATGTATATTTGTGTAATCTACTTGTGTACCAAGTTGTATTGACATCAGACTTAAACTGTAGGAGGAGTAGCATTTTGAAAAAAAAATGTTACAGACAGACAGACAGAAGACGGACACCCTTTAGTCGCATAAGATTTTCCGGTCTCTGACCAGTAGAGCTAACAAATAAGGGTAAATTAGATTGATTGCACAATGAAGTTATCAGAAATTAAGAGTCTAACAAATTAGACACTTTTCCTAATTTTAGTAATTTTAGTATACTCATCGATTCAGAATATTTTGGCAGTTTAAAAACAATAATAATCAATCAATCTACGTCATAAGAAATTTTCACAAACACCCGTCTAGTGATGAATATTCCACACTTATTGAAATTTTTCCAAAACAAGTTTATTATTTAGTAAATTTCAGAAATTAAGTATTTGCCTTTGTTCTTTTTTCCGGTCATGACAAGGAGCACACGGCAGGTGTGACCGGTGAACAGGGGATGCTCACTCCTCCTAGGCATCTGATCCCACCTCTGGAATTTCCAGGAGTCCGTGTTTTATGCCCTCTTCACATATTTGTATTGTTTATGGATTTTTTGAGATCGATCTATGTTTGTTATCTTTACCCTTTACATCTAGACAATAATCTTAAGCTTGACTTTAAAATGACCCTCTAGCAATGAAAATGTATTAAAGATAGGTACATTCATAAGGAGGGTACGAACGGATATCCCAAATTTAAAACGGAATAACCGATTGCAAGTTTATTAAGATTTATAAACAGTTATTAACAATACATGTATAAAGTGTAATAATATAGAGTGTTATGAACAATAACAATAAAAAGTCCTTAACCAAGCAAAAGTGCAATAGGTTCTGTCTCAGATTATATATGAAAATTTTGAAGTCCTGGTTAAAATTTAAACAAAATGGAGTCGAAATTAAAAAAAAAAAAAAAAAAAAAATCAACACTCGCACTTTAAAGATGAAGAATGACCCAGGATCCTATTTCCATCAGGGTCAAATGACACTCTGTATTTAGTTTCATACCTGACAATGAGGTACATTGAAAAAATAATCCTACGAAAGTCCACATGTGGGAGAATCGATTTTCCGGAAATGGAAATAATCCCAAATGTTCGTCTGAGGAGTTCCGATAAGACCTTATAAATAAAACTCCAGCATCTGTAGAGATTGGGGATATTCAATTAGTATCACAACGAAGATGAAAAGAGTTAAAGCAGTTGTACTAATGCTGTATGTATAATGTATTGTACGTTCGAAAAGTGATGGAGACCGGTCAGCAAGATGGAAATCAGGAGAAGCTTCAAGAACAATAGTTGAAGACAAAGCAGATCTGAATGCCTTTAAGGAACTAGTGAAGCCTATTTTGATCCCAAGAATGCCAGACACAGACGGCAGTGCAAAATTCAGAAATTATCTCATTAGCAAGCTAAGGGCCCTGAATTGGCATATTGAAGAAGATGTGTTTCAAGACTTGACCCAATATGGCACCAAAACATTCACCAACATTATAGCAACACAGGATCCTAGCAAACCGAAGAAAATGGTACTGGCTGCTCACTATGATTCTAAAAACATTACGGACAGAAATGGAAATGTCTTCATTAGAGCTTCAGACTCAGCAGTTCCCTGCGGGATATTATTGGTTGTAGCTTTGCAGCTGGATTGTTTGTTTAAGGGGTCCTGAGTAAAAATACATCGAGACATCACCCCACTGATCGTCTTCTTTGATGGTGAAGAAGCTCTCAGGTTTTGGACAACCGAGGATTCTATTTATGGAGCAAGGAACCTTGCAGAGAAATGGGAAGCAGAGAATGTATTACCAAATGTGAAAATCTTTGTTCTGTTGCATTTGATTGGAACAGCCGATGTACAATTTCGCAACTTTTTCCAACAAACGACAAATGCTTTTGAAATCTTAGCAAGAAGAGAACGATATCTTAAAAAGAAAAAAAAAATCCTTCATGATAACGAAAGAATTCTTTTCAGTAATCAGACATATTTTAATGATGGAATTGAAGACGACCACATTCCGTTTTCACGCAAAGGGGTACCTATCCTTCATCTAGTATCGGCACCACGTCCTAGCGTATGGCACAAAATGACCGATGCTGCTGCACATAAAGACTATCGCACAACAGTAGATTTCATCTAGACATTCCGTCTTTTCGTAGCCAGCTATTTACACTTTGATACCTTTAACAATCAGTACAGAATAAATTGAAAAGAAATTAATTGGGTTTCTGAACTCATAAAATAACCTATCGACATTTGGATAAAAATAATATCTGTAGAGTTTAGGTATTTTATATTATATTCATATTTGCAACATCAATTCAATTATTTAAAGCCACAATTTTTACTTCATTTTTTTGAAATAGTAATCCTGGGAGAAGCTGTATAACAAATTAGTAAAAATAAAATTTAGACTTAGGAAATTATTATGCCAAATAAAGGAAATGCAAGTGTTTAAAATCCGTTTATTTTTTTCTCTTGTCAAACATCTATATAATTATTTTCACGCAATGTTACATTCAAAATCCCTTTTATGGTCAATAATGTAATTACCTTTTCTATAAAGTTGATCTAGTACAAATTCATATTATGAAATAATACAACGTAAATTGTACCTTTTTACGAATGAAAATTTCAAGATTTTTTATTTTGATTTGGTGTATTCATTTTTTAAGCATCCTGGGAAAGGCCTGTATTTTTTTTTTTTACTTTAATCTACTTTTGTGGGATTGATTCACACTTGAGCTTGCATGTTATAATTATCCAGTGCATGTAACATTAAACCCTTTCTTGGTGTTTGGGTAGACAGGGTGATCAAACAATAAAGGTATGATGTTATGAAATAATAAAATTGATTTTAGTCAATAATGCACTTTGAAAATAGCATGTACGCATATGTACCACGATCACCTAAAACGGTTGATTTAAAGTCATTTATTTGAACAGACATGCTAAAGCATGTAGTAGGCATAACTGCCCTAAGTGAAGAAATATTCATATATACCCAATTTCGCCCCAACCCGGGGTTGAACTCTTTCTCATTGAGAATGACCTTGTAGTGTAGGATAGCGCCGCGAGAATTCCATCTGCATCGAAAGCAAGTTTTTGACTTGCCTAGATGGCCGAGCGGTTTAGCGCGCCGATCCTGCACTGCTAGGATACAGATTCCGTATAGGTCGAGAGTTCAACCTCGGGTTGGGGCGGAAGTGGGTATCCTTATAAAAGTGAATTTCTTTGTACTTTATATATATATATATATATATATATATATATATATATATATATATATATATATATATATATATATATATATATATATATATATATATATATATATAAAGCTGTATATATAATAAAAATGCATTAGATTAATTATTAGATTTATATATAAATTCATGAATTATTTTAATCTTCTTTTCATCAATACACATGGCAGCAATTCTGAGCGGCCTAACTCTAAATTCGGTTTATTGAATAAAATAAAGAATATCAAATGTCACTTCCTACGATACTTTTATAATGCACAGCTGTTTAAAAAGAAATGGTAAAACATAATCATATCCTTTGTTAGGGTTTACTTCATTTCAGCAATGCACAAGGCAGTTATTCTGGGCAGCGTATTTCTAAATGTTTACCTGAAGGTTATCAAATGTCGCTTTCTACGGTTATTTTAAGATACACAGCTCTTCAAAGGAAATGGAAGAACATGACAGTAATTTTTTTTTTTTATCAAAATTTAATGTGAGGTTGCATGATAATTTTATGATGCACAGCTGATAGAACAAATACACAGATTTGTTTTCTTGTGGTAGTCCAAACGTCAGG